AACATAATTATATTGTGGCTCAAAGAAAATTATAGGTAGTAAAAAAGTTAATTTTAATACCTCATATTAACCAATAAAATGATTCCAGAAATGTTGGCCGAGAGATTATTAAATAAAGTTTCGTTAGAAGCCATTTCATTATAAAAATTAATTTTTCAAGTGTATTTATTTTGTTTTTGTTATGTATTTTTTAATTATAAAAAATTGTCAAACTACCTATATAATATATATTATTATTATTATTATTATTATTATTATTATTATTATTATTATTATTATTATTATTATTATATTTTAATAGCACTTAAGATTGTTATTGTGTTTCTTATATTTTTAATATATTTTTTTTTAAATTTGTATTAGCTTTAACTAAAAATCACTATACCTCGACAATTAATTGAATAGAATGTGGCATTGCTATTAATCAATCTTATAACTACAATACTAATAATAAGAAAATCTTAAACGTAACAATAAAAATTTATATGGGTACCTACTTAWATACTAAAGTTATAATATAGTTTCAAGAAATGTACAATTTAATTGAATGTACTCGTAGCAATTGAACTATAGGAAAAAAAAGAAAAAGGAGTTAGATATTAAACAACCAACATTTATCACCRTCACGTAAATCGTAAWAAAACTTATTTATATAGTATTATGTAATTATAACACTCAAATTTATAAATGAGAAATGTCAAAATTTGTGGCCCATTACTKYGCTAGTCTGAATTTTAAATGCATATTAATAAATAAAAAWAAATAACTTTGACTAAAAAACATAAAAAAATCACTATCATGGATTATTAAAATTATTTCAAAACTATAACGCAGTGTGTAAAATACAATTTTTTTTAAAAACGTGTAATAAAAAAACCGAACAAATTACATTAAAAAACTACACAATGTGGTATTAAATATTTGTTATTAATCAGTGCAGTGTACACTACTACACGTTACAACTCGGAGTACCACTTAAGACAAATCAATATACCTACAATAATAATAATGAAATAAGTAAGGAATAAAATAYCAACGGTGGTTCAACTGTTTGCAACAGCCGGCCCTGCAAAAGCTGTTGTAAGATATAATGGAGCAACACGTATATCTATAATCTATATAAACAACTATATAATATTATTATTATATAGCTATATATATATTGTATTTTCGACGAGAGGCAATAATGGCGGGCGCGGCTTTCGATTGTCAATCAAACGGATGGAAAAATATGAAAAAAAAAGAGATGGTCGGCTTTTTACGTGCGACAGGGTCAAGTATCAGCTCTCCCGTCGAGTGGCTCTAACGAGGGTGCAGCAGAGCTTGCCGTCGTTGTTGGTGTCGTCAAAGTTCGTTACTAAAGTTCATATAGCTATACTTATATAATACACCTATAATMTATATATATGAAACACCTTGTCACCACCGTCGTACCGTCAAACATAGATGCTATACGCTCGTCTATTAATAATATGACAGTTTATTGAATTAATAAATGTTCAAACTCAAACCATTCCGACACCGTCCACGAATGCATCATGATAACATAAATTATTACTCTTGTTAGTAGGAAATTATGWTATGTGTAGAGAATGACTTCAGTTTAAGTACATATGCACGCATTTTCGTCACAGAGAGGGTAAGACCGTAAARGGGTTTTATCACMCCCTTAAACGATTATCTTTTGGATAAACATAACGTGAAGRAAAGTAACAAAATAACAAATATATAAATAAATATGTACCATGAAAATAACCACAAGATATTAAGCTTGTTTACACATGTTTTTCAAACCCAACACCACTAATTACACTTGTGAGTTTGCCTATTTGTGTGCGATAAAAATATATAATACGCTTTTTTCGGTTCGAGATGAAATTAAAATACTATTACTTTTAAAATATATACGTGTAGAAGCATAAAGCATTAAATACAAAAATATAATATCCATCTATAATATTAATATTTAATTAGAAACAATGTTGAAAAAATKTATTTATGTTTTATTGATGGATTAAGTATTCAATTAATTAAATCATCAGTCATAGTTAGGAATTAATGTATAAACGACTTAACCARAGAATAATAGAAGTTAAAAATTAAAAGTTATCAGCTTCTTTTTCTGATTCAACATTAATAATTAGCGATGCACATTTTTTAGAAACAATGGTGGCAAGCTAAATTTCTTAGATACGATGTTGCACAACTTTTATCACAAGTAGACATGGTAGAATAAAAAGTACCTATAACTACTATAATTGATACGGTATATGTTAAGAGATAATATAGTTAAGAATCACTTACTAATATGTTAAAATTCCATAATAATAATTATGATCACATTTAAAAAATGAATGTTGTGTTATTCATATGGTTATAACTAGGCTTGCCATTCGTCCCGGTTTGACCGGGACAGTCTCGGTTTTAACAGCATGTCCCGGYGTCCCGGCCGGTCATTCATTTTGTCCCGGTTTATGGAAGACAAGAGAAAATAACTTTAATATTATTTTGTTTAATTATAAAACATATAATAGTATAGTATTAAACATAGAATTTGGGTTTAACTTGTAAAGAATTTTATTTAAAAATTAAAAGTAATACAGCTGTATTGAAAACAATTCATTCAACCGAAAATTATGAACATTAGGTTATTACTAACAATTAATAAATGTGAATGCAGTAAATGTAGTTTATGTAAAAAATTGTAGTGGTTAATACATTTTTCAATTAAAATATGGGATATTATTAATTTCCATATAATTATACAAAAAAGGTTTTTACTATTTTTATTTTTTTATTTTTATTAGCTTCTAGTATTAAACTATGATAGCTAAACAATTACGATTGAACATGATAATAAACAAATTATACGAAAAAAAAGGTTATTCAATATGATGTCCCGGTTTGGCGTTTTTAAAATCTGGCAACTCTAGTGATAACCATATACTTAAAGTCTAACCATTTCGATTTCCACTTATYTATGTAATATAACTATTACTAGGTATATACAAAAATAATAGGCATGTAACTGCAGTTATCGGTAAGTTCACACGTTTAAACCAACCTGTGAGACAGTCGTGTATACAATAAGTTATTCYTAAAAGTGTATAAGTGTGTGCGTGTGTGTGTATGTAGAAAAATACTGTGTCACCCATATACTTACATTAATGTTTCGTTCGTCTGACTTTAAATTTTAATACGTCACGGTCGATAGACTTATATCCTCCCTCTCACAGACGTATTGTTTATACAGTACACATTATAAAATATAAACGTTGCAGTTTCAAACAGTTCTGACAATATGGTAATTATTACCATACGATAGCATTTCGAAGTTAGAGCGCTCATGCGGCCGTTTGTTTAGGATTAAGAAAACGGGGACTGTGTACAATAGTGCATCAGGTATTACCCTTTTACTTGACTAAAGACTTGTAATGGTCACCGTCGATAGTGGCCTCGTTATTTTGTTACTGAACTATTCCCTAGTGTTTGCTTTACGCTTCACTATACACACATATTATTAATATAAAGTCCCCTAGCTTTTATATTATTAATTATTATTCTCTACGCTATGCGTAACCAAAATACACCATTATAATTRTTTTTTTATCAGTTACAGCTACAACAACAACTGTAGTAGTATGCAGTACTTTAAAATCAAATACAAGTTTTAAGTAATACTTACAACAACAAAATTACATTATTTACAATTTTTTGCTTCATTAAATTAATACTGTTAACCTTTATCACTTTTTTATTCCGAATGATTGAATTTCTCCCAATCTCTCTTTGTAATAACTGAACATTACTGTACTTCCGATGAAATATTAAGTTTGATTTCAATTGACGTCTAGCTTGGGCTCAACATCTTATAAATAACATAAAATCAGTCAATTCCAGATTCCAWTCTGCACCAACTTCTTTGATCCAAGATTCTTTAGAAATAAACATGCAATTCAGCATACCTAATTAAACAATTTAATTTTTAAGGCTATTATCAAACCTTTGTCTATATAGACTAGTGTGGTCTTATGGCATCCAGATATGGAGCTCTACCAAATATTCTTATTWAAAAACTAATCAAAACCTTYGTCAAATCGCCTCTGCTCCTCATAAAAATTCTAATGCTTACTCAATTAACTGAATCATACCATCTTTCATTTCGTTCAAAGTTAACCCACTATCAAAACCCACTTATTAATCGGCTTTCCATTTGCACATACCTATATAACCGCGAAAACATTTTTAAAGGCTATAGCTAAGAGTTTTACTAATTTAATCTGCTGGGTGGCACTACTTCAGACAGTTTGARCATATAACCAAAATTGTTGATTGCAGTACTCTTATCTCTTAATATGTATTGCAATATTATTTTTTTTTATTTTAAGAAAATGTTTAAAACTGATTCTTCGTTTCTTCATCAATTGCATGTGGAAGTGAGGTTTTCTCATGTTTTGATGTAATTTAGGTATTTATTATATAAATTGTATAGCCATATACGTGACACAATATAATATATTATATAATACTAGTTAGTTATACTGTGTTTTACGACGGCCAAATTTATTTMTATTTGTTTTTGAAGGTTGATTAGAAATGTTATTTCCAATATAGGCACCTAGAGCTTATTAACACAATTTTCAAATAATACGGTAATTATCATAATTTAAAATCTTAACATAACAAGAATAAAGAGTATAWAGCTTTTTAAAAAGTAATAAGATTTTGTAGATTGATAATTACTTTAATTTAGTTTTAAGCAATAGACCAGATCCACGCTAGGTATCATAGGTTAACCAGATTAAATTCTCTGGTTTAAGTCGTAGTATGGGTCATATTGGTCATTACTTATAGTATCTCAAATTACCTCCTTACAATAATCCGACTAAAATATAGAGGGATAGAGTTATACTCGCGTGTTTTAAGCCAAAAAGTGATGCGTATAATATATAACTATAAAAATATAACGTTATCAATAATTGTGTGTTTGTTTGTTACAGTGCATAGCGTCGAAGGACCAATTCTGAATCTGACACGGATCAGTCGCTCTCACATGGGAGCATATCTATGCATAGCGTCAAACGGGGTACCGCCATCGGTCAGTAAACGGATTATGCTGGTGGTGAACTGTAAGTAAATTCTATGTATTCYATTTGATAATAGCTTTATAATAATAATAATATTTACCCTTTGAGTTTCCACTGTACTTCATTGTTTTTTGTTTCCCAAAAAATAATTCAAAATGAACAGGGGATTAATTATAAGGATTTATAATAAGTATGGTAAATATATAATATTGTTTTTACATTTAAAAAAATAATGCATCAACTTTAACAAAATAATATGTTAAATGCTTGTATCTAAATTCAAAATATTCTGAAAAAATAAGTTTTATATTACATTTTATCGTCTTTATTTTACTTCTTTAAATATTTTACATTTTTCAAGTGTTTAAACTAAATAGATTATTTAGAMATTTTTGATATTTAATATTTTCTTATTACATATTATTAAAAATATAAAACTGAAATTACATTTTTATGGTGATTATAGAATCGATAACTACTGAACAAATTGTAACCAAACTTTGCACACATATTCCTCAATGGGTATTCTTTGCTTCAATTTCAATCCTCATAAGTTACTATTGGGTGGCTCACACATACATTTTGTGACTCACGAAAATCAAATTATTTATTTATTTATATACGATAAATGGTCACCATATTGATTAAGTACAGACATTTTTTTTTTTTTAAATAAAGTAAATACTACTKGTCGCGCSATGCAATGGGATTTWTTTTTWAATAAAAGCAAATGCACGACAAAAGGCAAAGAGTGGATATTTGTAGCATACAAATATTATGGAAATTATATTATACTCGTAGATAGATTATAATAATATCAAGAAAGTTTAGAGAGTAGTTCAAACCAGATTTGAAAATATTCCAAATGTTATGTACACAATTTGCCACAAGCGGTTCGCCYATCTCGTTTGAATTAATTTACAAAGGTACATACATAGTACACTAATGCCGATTTATCATTGAACTGAGTTATCCTATAAAATCAAGATACAATATTATATTAAGCCATGTTTCATGTTTGTCCGTTTTTCATTAGCAAAATCGAGCTAATTCTTCTTACTGCAAAATATCCTCTAAAAAAGTTTTTTTGTTGTGTGGAAGTAAAACCACACGATTCACATTGATATTAAAATTTTAGCCCTCCTGAAATATTAATATATTTCCTACAATGGTTATACAGCTATAGTATCTATATTTAATGTTGTTAAACACGAAATATAAAATATAAGTGGAAGATAATAAATAATGATGTTATATTACCATACACGTGTGTCCACAGTCCCGCCAATGATATGGATCCAAAACCAGCTGATCGGAGCATTCATTGGCCAATCACTGACTCTTGAGTGTTTGTCCGAAGCGCATCCCAAGTCGATCAACTATTGGACCCGAGAGGCCGGCGAGATCATTGCTCACGGTAAGCAGAACACGTCCGGAGAATAAACGCCGCCGCCGATGGGAAAAGTCGAATACGACCTTGATGCGGGGAGGGGGTAGCAAAAAAAACGAACGAAAGGATGACGGCGGTATCTGTACAGACGTTGCAAGGGTGGAAGGACGGGTTAACGAGCTGAAAATTCAGCAGGATTTTTTTACGATTCAACGGCAATAAACGGGTGGCACAGGCGGCGGTGGCGGTACCAAAGTTTTTCTCTCCATTTTAATAGGGATACACTCAGTCCCCATATATATATATACATACACACATTCTGTATAAATGTCTATAGGTATATAGGTATATATTTTTTTCGAATCCCCAAAACGCACATCGTCGCGCATTTCTAGTCGGACAACGACGACGACGTGTTTCATTTGGAATTTTTACCATTCGTGCAGTGTTTATGTTTTATTATTACTATTGTTATTTTTATTTTTTTCGATTACTTCTTTACTTTGTTGCTATATATATATAAAGCACATATGTTAATAAGACTAGAAAACGCGTGGCAGACGCGTGTCCATTACACGCTCCCTCGAATTATTCGTGTGAAGGTATTAGAATTTACGCAAACGCTGCAGGCGCAGTTTTCTGTCATAATTCACTCTACTCCAAACATCATCATTCCACAACCTATACTCCTACTTTTCAACTTTTAATTGGCGCGTGTCCGTTCTCCAATTTCTAAAGCTATAAATCCTTTAAGGCTATAGTGAGTCTAATACCGTGTATAATATTATTTTTAATTTGACCATCGACGTGAAATCATGATTTTATGTTTGAAACAAAATGTATTATTTTGTTTATATTTTTGCAACGACACGTTTTCATTATCTGTAAACATTTTATCATCTTTGGTTTTAAACACAACTTTAAAAACAAAATGTTAAGCCAAATATCAAAATACCTACTTAAATATCAATTGCCTCGTAACTTATTGTATAGGTAAYTCAATTTTAGACTTATTTAAAATATTTAAAGTACTACCAATATGACATAGGTACTAACGGATAAGTTTTGGTAAAATAGACTAATAATCAAATAATTAATATTATTATTAGTGTGTTAGAATGCCGTATAAACAAATTGGAATAAAATTAATAAAATTTTTATGAATTTATAATACCTTTGACTMCGAATTAACATATTACATTTTAAAAAGCGGATGTATAACATTCTAAATTTCCTATGAAATAATACGCTTGACGGTTACTTATGAATTTCAGAAAATATGACAAATATTCCAATGTAAATGAATTATGCAAACATAAGTTTAGTGTACTGTGGTCTTATTGTAGGTAACTATAGTGATTAACTGATTTAATAATGTGTTTAATGTATATTTTCAAATATAAATTTATATGAATGTACTAAAAAATAACTTAAATCGTCAAAAACCTATATAAAGATTTAATCTCTTAAATATAGTTGTGAAACTGAAACTTTTGAATTATTTTAAACATGCGTTTTTATACCTATAAACAAATCAAAGGGTGTAATTTTCGATTATTTATTCGTGATACCAGTTTCAACTTACCCACAAAATATAAAATTCTTCGTGATGATATCTTTGATCTAATTATTGAATATGGATTATTATTTTTTAAATACCAACGAACAGAAATCATTATTTTAAAAATATTAATACGAGTACCTATTAATCTGTTATATTATTATTGTCCGCATAAAACTACAACCATCGGTCTGTATAGTTTCTTTGTTTTATTATCAGATYATAACATCAATCAATACATATATTTTATGTTCAAAAGTTATATAGCATGCTAACCATCTACATAAACCAACAACCAACCTATACTAATATTTTGATATCTATACAAATAACCTCTATAATAATATATTATGAAATATCTTGAGTACCTAATTATATAACCTAAATATTTCGTGTTTTGTTTGTACGATTTTAATGTTTGTTTCGAGTGAATTTAGTTAATACAAAATAGTAGAAAGGTTAATGTTGTGTAACATAAGCATGATTCGATTTTAGATTCATATAAGATTATGGGTTATTACTGATTTGGGAACAAATAGTTGAAATTACTTTTTTCTGTGTATTATTGTGTTACATATTTATTATATATTATGAGCAGTGTACAATTTACTTCATAAATTAGAACAGTTTGAAATGTTTTAACTTGAATATTATTTTGTGTTATTTGTTGGACTTAACAGACCAATTTTAACTATGGGCAATATTTGAATGTTTTTATATAGGTACGTAAATAAAAACTAACATAAACTCAATATTGGGCATTAATACAATAGTCACTCTTGGTACAAATTCCTTTTTTTATAATTTATGACAAAATTAATTTATTACTCATATGATAAAGTCAAAAATATTTAAAGTTAGTTTACAACATTTATGTTGATATTAATCATAATGACGTATACTTTGTTTTCGAATGTACTTAGGTATCAAAATTATATCAAACATTTAAGTTACATAATTTATAGTTATTAAAATAACAAAACTATTTCGGTATTAAAATTGTATTTCATCGTTAGTTAATTATCAAATATATTTCTCATTAAAAAAATATAATTAATTAATTTATATATCATGGAAAAAATAAAATAACAATCATTAGTAAATTATAATTTTAAACCATACATTAATTAATGTGTAAAAAAATAAGAGTGATATACCCTATATCATATAACGTACTGAATCCAAAGTGAGTTTATTAAAGTTCTTCTGTAAAAACATTATCTCTTAATTACCTAGTCGTCGTATTATTTTTATTTTGTATACAAACCCTATAGTCAACTATTTTCAAATAAGCTACCTATGATACAAGATTTTTTTATTGRTTTAATTTAAACCAAAAAGCTAAAATATTAAAATTTATACAATTTAGTCACAATAAATAAAAAAAAAATAACTATACAATTTACTAAATCTGCTTATATCTACAAATAATATTGAAATTAGAACGACCAAGACATACCAGATTTATAGAATAATATAAAATTAAYACACATTTTTATCTTCATTTTTAAATGATCTAGTAAAATTTTATRTCAGAATTTACCAATTAGTCTTTAGATGATCAAGTTCATTTTAATTGTAAATTGCTTCTAAATTCACTCACMTAATCGTAACGTTTATAAAATTTATACCACAATAGAACAATAAAATCATTTACCATAATGTATCTATACTAATTTAATGATTTTTATTCATTTGATTCACGTACTCTTTTTACGAACTGCTAAGTAATAATAATACAATATGTTATAATGTATTGTTTTAAATTTTAATATAATATTATGACATAAAATACATTATACGAATAACTTTTAGGATTATAGTAGCACAGAGATACTTGAAAACAGTTTATATATGGGTCTTATTATATATGTTTAACGTTACTATTTAGTATTACAATTATTTGACACCGAAATAGGTAATAACCATGATAAGGATCCAACACTGCGTGACACGAAACGATTACCTACGTGATAACTGTAGAACGCGATATCGTACATGATATTATTATTATATTACTATGATATAGTCAACTACGTGTACAACACCAGTATTGGCTATTTTCCAGTTTCACAAATCAACGTATCGTGAATTTTCGATTTTGCAGTGTTTGAATGTACTCACACTCTTCTTATRATCGTTTCGCCGACTTCACATCTGTCAGAATATTATTTATCTGCCTCCAAAATAATATGTTAAGCTAAACACTTTGAATGGTAATCAAAAAAAAAAANTTTTTTTAGGTTTCTACTTCCTAGAATGAATTTGCGTAGAAAATATTATAATCAAGTATTAAATAGTACTCACCGTCGATATAAGTATCTCATGGTATCTACTTTGCAAATCTATATTGTACCATTGAGTAATTTATTATACATACTTCTATTATTATAATAAATTATTAATACAATTTCGAGGAAATATAACAATTTTATATCCTACTTTTTTTGGAAAAAATGTTTGTCTTATAGTAGGTATCAGCTAGTAATGTATGTATTCCAATTGCATAAAAGTAACTTTAAAGGTAAATCATATATATACAAATAATGTTACACTACGTATGTAATGATTAACCATATAATAGTTATCGGAAGATTAGTTTTTTTAATTATGATATGTGAGACCAGCCCAGCAATTAATAATACGATCAAAAACCAAAATGATTTATTGTTACAAGAAAATAAATATGTTTAGGTATAACATTAAGCTTAGTACTTTTAACTAGCAATATTTTGATTTATAAGACTTACCGTGGACTATGTCACTGAATAGTTGTGTACCCACTTATATTTGTTTTTTTTTTCAATTTATACAACATAATATTATGAACTCTTTAATCCAGGAATACATTTAATTACTTTATGATCGATATAACAGTTAAAAATAAGAAAAATATTCTAACTGTTTTGTACCTCTCAATAGTTTTACTATCATTATTAATGATAGCCTAATTCATAAACTTCGATATTAGCTGGACAATGGGTATAACACTCAGTCATTGTCATATTCCTTTAATATTAACCCACGTATATTTACATTATGACTACCTATAGGTCTATAAGTATAGTTTGTTTTTTATACTTTCTTATTTTTACTTATCATAATCACATAATCACTCGAGTAAATTAAAGAAATAATTTTTACATCACTGGCCGATTATTTTTAGTTAGAACAATATTGTAATTTTAATTAATCAGGTGCGCTTCCGAGTTTATTTTAGAAGTTATCTTARATCCATAATGTGATTATTGTAGCCAACCAAATATTATGAGTTATTCAGGAATTATATAAGGTTAGGATTGCGATCATTACAAGTACAACTTTACTATATTTGTATAGTATTATATTACAAACTGTTTTCTAAATCAAAACACTTGCAAATTGTTCATTAACCTATACTTACAGTGGATCGAGATTCTCTGGTTATTACTATTTTGTTTTAGGAAACAGTTAATACAAATTATAT